GTAAATGAAATGAAAGAACTAAAGAAAGGCAATAAAAGCAAATAGTCATGTAATTTCCACGTAACACGTTGGATCACATAGAAGAAACACAAAAAAAAATAAAAGAAAATATACCGCCTCCTTTGAATGGTGTCCAAATGAAAGAAAAACGGCTTCAAAACAATAAAAAGGTCAAGGTACCACTTTAATTGAGAAAAATTAAAAGAAAATGGAAACAACCATCCAATTGAATCACTCGAAGCATTCCAAGGCAAGTAAACTACTCGTACTTAACCAATTAAGACAAACAAAGACCCAATTGAAAAAAAATAAAGAGGTCTAAAGGGCCAATTTATTACTATTATAAACACTAAGGAACTAAAAAACATAAAATAAAATTAAGAATCTAAGGTGAAACTTACCAAATCAAACTAGAAAATTCACAAAAAGGTAAACGAGGAGCAATTTACTAGTAGCTAAACAACCAAATGCCAAAGAATCCAAAAAAAAAAAAAAAAAATCAAATTAACTACAAGTCTAAGAAAAAGAAATTATTAGACCCTTCAAATTCATTCTACAATCCCTTAAGTATTTACCCAAAACAAATCAAGATGTATTAAAGAGGAAATGGCATGTTAGGAGGACAAAATTAATTAAGTTTCCAATTAATTGGGCCATGGAAGCATTAGATGGAAGCCAAGGGGTTGGAGTACGATTTTTGAAAGTCATTTTCATGCAAAAGCCATGCAATCAACGTAGAAACTCTTCTGCAATTTCTGCCGCAACTCTTGCATCTCCAAACCAGGCATGTTTCATACCAGAAAAATGCACAAAACCCATTGTTTGCCAAACCGACTCAGCTAATGGCTTAACAAACTAAAACTTAGATCAAAGAAGCAAGATCATCAAATGTTTTTCCCAGCTTTAACCTTAAACTCCTACGTTCAGCATAAGGTTCAGAGGGAAAAGAGTGCAAAAATCTGGAACATATGCAAACATTTGAAGAAAGAAAGCTGCTGCAACTTCACGTAATCTCAGCAAACCAAATTTATGCCACGGCTTTGAAACAAGTTCCAATCAAAACATGGCTGAACATGTCTAAATAATGCACTTGTTGGAAAAGTTTCATGCAGGTTTTCATTCAAAGCTACAAAACAAGCTTCTGCAAATCAAGAACCAACGCATGCTGCTGCCCTTTTGTTTCCAAAACTTCAGCAATTTTTAGCAGCAAATACATCCATTTCATCATACAAACAAGTTCACCAAACCAAAAATTATTGACCCAAATCAAAACATGAAATTTTGTTTGCAGGATTAAGATGACAAATCTGATTTTTTATCGAAAGAGAAAAAGAAAGTGCAGCAAAGTTTTTCGGCAATTCTTATCCGCAAAGCTTTCCACAGCTCCTAAACACATTCAAATTCAATATGAACTAAAGCAACAAGACAACCACCTAATCATCTCACTTTGCAACACAAAACTTTAGGATTTGAAGCACAAAATTCAGGTAGAGAAAGCATGCAGCACTGGATATAAAACTGCTGCAATTTCCTTGGTTTCACTCCCAAATGCCAACTCCACATCCAATCACATACCTTAACCAAAGCTAACATCCAAAACTTTAAACTTAGACAGTAAAAACATAAGTTTAACATCCCAAATCAGCAAAGACAAAGGTGGAAATCATTCAAACGTTGAAGAATGAACATGCAAACATTGAAGAATGAAAACTGCTATAGCTGAAAGTGAAATCTGCTGCATTTTTACTTGCAAACTAACTCAAATTTTCTGGTTCAAATACATAACTTTGACCAAGATTAAGCAACAAACAACTTTGGCTTGAGCAACCATGATCCAAGCAAGCTAACAACCCAGAAAAACATCATATTCAGGTCTGAAATAACATGCAAGCAACAATAAAAGGTTTCAGCTTCAGCAATGTTTCCGGCCAAACAACTTTGCAGCAAATTTTTTATGACTCAGATTTTTATCACAACCTTGATTAGATGTAATTAAATTCAACGTCACAACTTTAGACCAAGCCCACAACTAAACCCACCATCATAATCCAAACAAACAAGAAACCCAAGAAGATATCATGCAAAATTCTGGAATAAACATGCGTGCAACAGATTTTTGCTTCACTCAAATTTCTGGTTTACACACAGCCAATTAATCTCATGCAGGGCTTGATCATCCAGTATTTAGTTAGCTAAACACACAACCAAGTGAGGATCAAGCACTTTCCAGCAAATTTCATACTAAAATGCCCAAAACAACTCCATCGGCTAAGCTGGAAGATTGGTTTAACAATCCAGCAACATCCAATAAAATTTTCCAGCCGTACAACCGAATTCCCAGCCATAAAGATCACATGCAAGACCAAATAACAAACTATCTATCAGATTGGATCAAAAATCAAGTTCAAATGTCATCAAAATCACCATTTAACCAGAAATTCATCCCAATTCTCTCGATTGACATGCATGCAACCGGATTTTTGGTATTCCTTCAATTTTCTTGTTTAATCCAAGTTAATTAGCTTCATGCAGAGCTAGATCATCCAGACTTTGGTTAGTTAAACATACATATAGCTCAGATCATCAAAACTTGGTCAACCGAAGCTGCAAATTTCCAGCTTGAACTCTCGGCAACCATTTTCTTCACAAACAGATTTTTCTATAACTTAAGTTATCATCTAGCCACACAATCCTCACATGCATGCCCTTAAACAACTTCATCAACCTATAAACATCTAGTCTAGGTCCAGAAATTACCTCAGTTTGGAGCTCAACACCCTCGGCTAGCTGCAAAAAATATTTCCTCCCTTCGGCAGTCCAGAAATGCAGCCTGCAACTCTTCCTCTCCCTTGCTCCAACCTGCGACTAGGATGAAGATAATGTGGCTCTCAATCTCTTCACCAACTCACGGATGAAAGGAAGATAGTCAGCTAGTCTCTCTCCTCTCTTTCTAGTTTACGGACAGAAAAGAAATGAGCAAGGAATTCGGCTCTCTCACTCGGTCGTTCTTTCCAAGGAAGGTTGATCACTTCCAGCTCACGGCAGAAAGAAAAAAATGGAAGTGCTATTGTAGTGCATTGGGAATGGTATATTGTGGAGTGTATGGTTAATGGAATGTTTATATTGAGGTTATTGTGAGTGGGGTTGGTCGGCAATAGCAATGGAAGGTGCTAGATTGGGAAGTGAAATGGAAATGGATTCGGCAGAAATGGAATTATGATTTTTGATTTTTTTTTTTTTTTTTCTTAAATAGCCCAAAACCCGCAATCGGGGTTCCCCTTTTTCATTTTTCATGTTTTTCCAAGAAAACATTGAATTTAAATCAAAACAACTAAAGCATAATTTTTGAATGCTTTTCCTTTTTTTTTTTTCCATGATTTTTCTACGTTAAAACTTAAAAATTAAAATAGAAACTAGAAACTAAAAAAAACTAAAAGCAACCACGACAAATGAGAATAAAAAGTAAAAGAAATTACACCAAAAATTTGGTGTCTACAATGAATGCTCAGTTGCAGCTTTCCTGCTATACTATGTTCACAAAGAGAAAAAAATGTTCACAAAGAGCCTTTGTGTGGGAGACAGACTTGACCATACTCCATAGTGAGTCGGGATTGTTTGTATACTGAAAATACTTGAAGGACCTGATCTATGGACTCAATAGTGGATCATATGGCGTTAAAAAAAGTGATAATAGCTATAATGTATAATAGAGTGCGAACTTTCATGTGGCTAAAAAGAATATAACATATTGTACAACGAATTTGTAAATTGGATCTACCTAATTATTTGTCTATATATTATTCCCTAAGAAGAAAATCTATGTTTCTAGGCGTCAAGTTCTATATTCTGTTAACTATTAGTTTCAACTTTATTATGTACTCTAAAAAGTTGGAAAATTTTCTTCTCTCACAATATATATGGCTGCAAGTATATCATAAGCCTCTTCAAACTTTACCGTCTAAAATTGCCTCATAGATATTTGGCATGTCAAACTTGTAAGAGCATGTTATTTACACTACATAGAATTTTCAAATATTAAAGGCTATTCAATCAAGATCCTAAAGTTTTTGGACTACTGCTAAAAAAAAAAAAAAAAAAAAAAAAAAAAAAGATCCAAAAGTTTTGAACAAATGCTCAATGGAATAGTTATTAAACCCGATCTAGACATCAACTTAGTAAGGCTATTGTTTCAAGGGCGTTAGTGGTTCAAGTGCTAGTTTGACGGTTGAATCGGTGATTATATAATATGGTAAAATAATAAATGTGATTTATTAAGAAAATATTAATTATTGAATTGGTTATTGAACCGTGGTTCAATCGGCCGCTTATTGAGTTCTACAAATTGAACAGAGAAATTTTATAGTTTCCTCCCCCGTTCAGTCCAACTACTAAACTCAACTTGATTAAGTGGTCGGTTACTAGGGTTGATCAGTTGAACTATTAGGTGGGCCGGGTTAAATACCATGCTCAGTGGAATCATTGCACACTTCTATTTGGTAAAATCAGAGTGAAAAAAAATGATGTCAAATCTTTCATGCATGTAGGATTAAACTGTGTACTACAAGCATTAAACTATACTATTACTATGCGTAACTTTCAAAGCCCCTTGTCCATACAAAAGGTGAACATAGAAAGATATCTGGCAAGAGATCATGCATCCGACTTTTGTCCAACAAACATCAAAGTTCATCATTACTACCTAGATTAAAAATGGTCAATTGATTGTGCATGTCTGACAATGCCATTATAAAGCAAAGAAAGTCATAAAAGTAGAAAATATTTTTAGAAAGAGACTGGAGTTCATTGTGGAGTCAGGTTCATTTGCTATAGAAAATCTTGTGGTTGAATTTCTCTACTTTTGATGAAACATCGACCTAGGAAGATCAAATTGACATAGAACTATCCTTGTATTGGGTAAAAGGTCGAAAATTCTTGGCATTCTTGTCTTGTTTTATCCTGAAGTGAAGGATGCACAGGCATGCTATGATCTTTTATGCTGCATTTGTGCAAGTTTTGCTCTTCATCTTCTACCTTGTGTTAAATGCTCATCCATCGAACTCAAGCCGGCCAGCGATAATAGCATCAAACATCATGTAAGTAGCATCTTCTTTGGTCTGCTTCTCTGTATCAATATATGGAAACAACTTGGGACATATATGTATGGCCAGTTCAATTTTGAGTGTTTTAATTCAACACATTCATACAAATCATAAAGGGTGATGAGAAATGAAACCACCTTTTGATGGGAAATAGCAGCATATACTAGCGGTGCTGGCTATTGCCCTTGATGTATGGATGTTAAATACATACATGTGGAGTTTAAATTAGTTTTGGTAATTTCTGCAGCAGGATTCTCAGAAGACATTTTATATTGCAGTTCATGGAATTCTTTTATGGGTTTCAATGGGTTTTCTAATGCCTGTTGAATACTTGTTATCAGAATGGCCAGTGCACAAGAATTTCATAGAACTACACTTAGAGTCTTCTTCTGTCTTCATGCAATTGCCCAGGTAAATTAGAGTTCATGATTTTGAAATTTCTTTCTGGATATGGCTTTACGAGGTTAGGAAGTATAACTACATTAAGTAGAGAATTAGAATGGTGATTATTAATCCCCCCCCCCCCCTCTATTTATCACGTGATTAGACGATCCAAAGCCCCTTTAGAGCCACAAGATGTTATGATTAAACACACTTCTTTTTCCTTTTTCTGTCAAGCAATCATGAAATACACTTTAATTATAACGGGGGATAAAGGTCTTTTAAAAGAGAAAAGCACTTGGGACATGGCAACAACAATGTGAGCCCACAGTTTGGTAGAACCAGACTTTTGAGATCATGCTAACTGTGAACGTTGTGCTAGTAGCATGAAGAATAACTTGATTACACTGCGTAGTCTAACTGATAAAAGCATACACTGATCAATGATGTTTGTTAACTTTTGCACGTCCTAGTCTCTTCATAATCTTGGACTCATTAGAACTCCGTTGTGTTTTAGACTTCTAGTATGTATTTGTGCACACATACTTTTGGTCTAAAATGTCTATATACTGAAAATAAGGGATATAAGATTATGTTCATAGAGAAAGCATTTGCAGGTTTCAATCGATATTTGATTCATAAGCTTGTAGAATTAACAGATGCTTTTTCTCTATCGTGTTGATAAGGTGCTTTCGGTACTACTTGCTACTGCTGGAGCAGTTATTTCAATCAGAAGCTTTGAGAATTCGTTCAACAACTGCCACCAAAGACTAGGATTAGGACTTTATGGTGCTATTTATGTGCAAATCTTAACTGGATTTCGCAGACCAAGGAGGTGATTAATCATCTTATTTTCTACTATAATTAGTACTTACGTTTCCTTGACAGATCTTGCAGGTCAATTAGGATAGGAGGACAGAATTTCTGAGTTTCCCTTTTTCCTCCTCTTTCTGTATGCAGGGAAGGAAATCTAGAAGCGTTTGGTATCTTTTCCATTGGATAATGGGAACTGCAATATCTTTCGTTGGGGTTTTTAATACCTACACTGGCTTAAAAGCGTATCATTCGAAAACATCAAAGAGTACAAGCCTTTGGAACTGCACTTTTCACGGCTCAGGTCCTTGTCATGGCATTCTTTTACCTCTTTCAAGACAAATGGGATTATATGAAAAGCAAGGTGTTATACTTGGCAATGAACCTATTAACAACCTCCTCGGTTCAAATAATTACTCAGGGGGGAAATGACAAGGACAGCTCAACAACAGAGCCATGTAGAGAAAAGCAATTCGCTTGGGACTTATTTTTCAAGAAGCAATGCTCTAAATAAGCTGTTTCAGCTAACATAAGTCATTGCTTCACATTTTGATTCTTGCACTCTCTTATGGTGTTATGCTAATGAATTGATTTTGAACTCAAAGTATACTGCTAAACTAGAGTGCAAGCATCAAAATGGAGCATCCATAAATTTCTACTATGATTTGTTTCCTTTGTGCAGGACTAATAGCTTGATTAGTTACACAAATCATAGAATGGATGAGTTATAGGGAATGAGATTGTTAGCAGATGATGCACTACTTGTACAGAGCAATCAATCACATGCTTGTTAAGAATCAGATGGTAATAAATAAACATGACCATTTGGTTGTTTTTATGTCAAATTTTGAACAAGCATGATCAAAATTTTGATGGAATATTTAACCGTGTCTTGTGCTCATTCAAATTACATTTTCATTTACCATCATGTTATCAAGGTAACTCTATATGGTCTTACATCTTTGTTGACAAATTTTGGAGACAATCCTATATATCCATTTCATACTAAATAGGATAATTGACCTGAAGCAAGGGGAGGTACTGCTTTTCTACCATGACTGCTTGAACTGAAACCAAATGAAAGCAGCAAATATGTAAATTTAATACATGTTGCAAAGTACAGTATTTGACAGTTATTATGTGTACAGAAACTTTCTCTGTTTCAATTGTCGCACAATTTTTTGAATGAATTTAAGGCTATATTCAGAGAGTATATTGATACTAACTCTGTAAACTAATTCTTCTTATGCTCGTAATCGTTGATAATTAGATGCCCAAAATGATTAATTTGGTTCCCGACTACTCATTGAAGTAATTAGGTAAGAATTTTTTGACCAGCATTGTCATTGAAAGACAAACAATCCTCTCAATAGGACATCTCACAATCAGCTGTGTAGTTATAGATTTCTGCAAATGCTGCCAGGGTTTCATGTACTTGAAGCATCGATGGTCTGTGATCTGGATTAGGCAACACACAGTTCTCAGCTACTTGAAGAATTGGATGATTTCATCATCAAATCCATGACCAATCAGACTTTTGATCAACCTCACAGCAGATAGAAAATTTATGAGAAACAGAGGTACCACAGAGATTTTCAGTCAAGCTTTTGACTTGCTGAGGTTGCTTCCGCGTTATAAGCTCTAGAACCATTAATCCCAAAACAGTAGACATCTTTTTGAAAGAAACCAAATCCAGAGAATCACTTGACTGGAAAAAACTCCAATTTGAACTTTGATCTTCTAATTAATGAATTTTGCTTCCCAAGAAATTTGTTATTTTGGGATCAAAATTCTTATCAAGCAGGATATCTTTTGAGCTTATGGTCCCATGGACCACCCTTAAACTACATTTGTGATGAAGCCATGCTAACCCTTCTGCTATGCCAGCAGCAACCTTAACCCTCAAAGCCCAATGTGCCATAATATCCACCTCATCTTTTCTTCCATGTAACCAGTTGTAAAGATTGCCATTTGACATGTACTTATATACTAGAAACAAGTCCTCCTTTTCAGGGCAGAATCCGATTAGAGGCACCAGCCTCCGGTGCCTTAATTTGCCTAGAGTTATGGTCTCAGATGCAATTTTTTGATGCAACTGCTCTGAGTTGAAGAGACCCTTGATGGCAAGAAACCATCCGTTTGGGAGTCTTGCCTTGTACATAGTTCCCATCTTTCCAATTCCAATGATGCTATTCTGCTTGTACATAGTCTTGCACTGCGCAATTCTGCAAAAGAAATTCTTGTAACGTATTTTTCCAGCCGCGCAATCTGGAGAATAAAGATTGTATATGCTATTCTGAGATTTCAATGTTAAGAATTCTAACAGAAATTAAGAGGAAATTTTGTTGATGAGGGGCTCCAGGCTGGTCAAACACAAGTTGCCCAAGTCATTCAAGTACCAAGTGGTCCAGTCACAAGAGCTCGTGCCAAGAAGATGCGTGAATCTTTACAAGCCCTTGTGAGTACAATCCAAGGCCGCATTGGAGATGATTTAAAGATTATTGAAGGCTTGGAGAATGAAGATTCAAAACTTTACACATTGCTCCAAGTAGAAGACCCTCCAGCGCCTGTTGCTAGTTAGGCGTGTCCTCACCTAGTGGTCACGCTTAAGGAAGAGTTAAGCTAGTTCTATTATTTATCTTTTTATAGTTAAATATTAGTTAAAGTCAGTCCATTAAACTCTTAGGGCTGGCCGAATCCTTGTCATTAATTAGTAGGGTTAGTTTAGTCAATTTTGGGATTAGGGTTAATGCTTGTAAAGGCTATAAATAGCCTTACTTCCTCCTTGTTAAGGGATCCAGAATTTACATTATATTTGTGAGTTTATTCACTTTTCTCTTCCAAGAGAGCTTTGCTTGAATACTTGAGAGTTTTTCTTGAGTTATTCAACTTGAATTTATCAACCAAGTATACACCTTGATTGTGGCGTTCTTCTATCCAGATCGTTGGTTCACTAAATCGTTAGTTGTTGGGTTGAGATTCATCTTAGTTCATCAATTCGGGGTTTAGAGGGGTCATACGTGCCGCCGTTCCAACTTGATTGTTCGTCTAGATCCGCGCATTCATATCAGTTGGTATCAGAGCTAGTCGACGACATCAAGTATATCCCATTGCATCTTGTAAGTTTTCCTTAAAAAAAAAAAAAAAAAAGGTTACTGTTCATCGGGTACTATTCACCCGAAAACACTGTTCATCCGAAAAAGAGAGGGAAAAACCTATTTTCTGGTTGTGTCTTGATGAAACCATGGCTGACCTTGAAATTTCCTAGCGTCCTTGATATTGTGGGGATTGAGTCTTGAAGTTCTTGGGCTGCAAAATTGATATCTTGAATTTCTTGAAGTTAGGGTTTTGTAGTTTCTTGAATTTTCGTGGGCTGCCATCAAGTTTTTGTTGGATATTGTTGTTCAACCTCCTGAAATCTGGAAATTTTGATTGAATCTTGAAGTTCTTGGGTGGGAAAACAAGGGTTCTTGAAAATCTTGTTCTCAACCTTTTCCAAATCTTGAACCTTCACAACAAAACCAAAGTTCTTGGCTCAAACTTGCGGCTGCCTTGCTCAAATTTGAAACAAAAAAAAAAAAAAACAAATCTTGTTTCTTGTGTGCATCTTGATCCGAATTGAAAAGGAAAGACAGATCCATCTTGCAACAGAAAAAAAAAAAAAAAAAAAAACAAACGACGCAAGAAAGAAAGAAAGAAAAAAAAAACCCCAAATCGGATTTCAAGAACAAGAAATAGTTTGCTTGGGTAGCCTAGCCGAACTTGGGTTGAAAGAACAAACCTTGTTGCCTTCAATCTTGCACTATTGGCCGCATCTCTTTGTCCACGAAATACCAGAAAACCAGCAGCCATTAACACCCAAAAACAACCAAGAAACCTTGCTATTAAATAGCCACAAAAGGTGGGAAGATAAGATAGGGTTTCCTACTTTGTAGCCGTCTCTTGCTTTTGTTTCTTGATTGTGGTTTGTGCCAACTACCCAGCCGACCTTTGTGCCTATTTTATAGCATTTCCAGCCAATAAAAACGTGGTTTACGAGGCCCAAGAGTCCTAATCAGTTTTGGATTCCACTTGGTAGTTAACTCCTCAATTTAGCTACTAGTCACAACCAAACTTTCTTTTTTTCTTGTTTTTGTGGTTTCTTTTCTTTTAGGCGGACAGCTTAGAGTTTTTTTTTCCAGCATATTATACATTTCCTTTGTGTCTTAGAATTAGTCAAACAACCTTCAAAAAATCACAGCCTTCAGCCGCCACACTTGGGTATAATTTGGTTCAAGTTTGATTGAATTTCTTCAAGAAAAGCAATCTAGTGACTTGAGAAGTGATTGGTGAGATCATTAGAGTGTTTTCATACACTTGAGTGAAACACGAGTGTGAGTGATATACTAAGGGAGTGAGTGAGGTGTTATTTCCACTAACCCTATTTTTGCAGGAATACCTCAACATGTCCGAAGGGAAGGAAACTACTCCTTTTGATATTAAACTTGTGATGGAAGCTATGACTGATAAATTGCTCAAGCTAATGAAACAGGAATTAGAACCATTGCATGAGAGGATGGATAGTCTCGAACACTCCCAAACCAATTCTAAGTCCCGGAGACACAAAGCACCAACCCGTGACTATGAAAGTTCCAACTCCGAGGAGGAATATGGGTCGAGGACATGGAAGAATAAACACCGTAAAGCTGGTGTGGATCCAATCAAAGGCGTTAAAATGCAATTGCCTACTTTCCAAGGCAAATCCGACCCCGATGTCTATTTGGAATGGGAGAAACGAGTGGAGTTGATCTTTGATTGCAATGATTACACTGAAGAGCAGCAAATGAGACTTGCAGTCATGCAATTCACCGACTACGCCATAGTGTGGTGGGATCAAATCACTACTAGTAGAAGGCGAAGTGGTGAATACCCTATCACTACATGGACCGAATTGAAGGGTGTCATGAAAAAACGCTTTGTTCCTAGTCACTACCACCGTGACTTGTACCTCAAACTTCAAAATTTACACAAGGAGCCAAAAGCGTGGAGGACTACATAAGGAGATGGAGATAGCCATGTTAAGGGCCGACATTGTCGAGGACCGGGAAGCTACTATGGCACGATTTTTAAGTGGATTGAGGCCTGAAATAGCGGATCAAGTGGAGATGCACCATTATGTGGACCTCCATGATATGCTAGACAAGGCTATTAAGATTGAAAGGAGGCTCAAGAGGAGGGGTCCAATTCGACAAAATTCCAACTTTCAAGCTGGAAATTGGAGAACCAACCCTTCAAGAGGGAAGTCAGCCCCTCTAGTGCATTCCCTTGGCCAAACAAGGTGGGACAACCAAGGAGTCACTAAGGCCGAATGCACCTTCCTCAAAACCACCCTCAAGGGGCGATGGTAGGCCTACTCATGAGGTAAGCAAAGTTCGATACCGAGACACTAAGTGTTTTAAGTGTCAAGGATTTGGACATATTGCTTCCCAATGCCCAAATCAAAGGGTTATGCTTATGCTACCAAATGGGGAAGTACAAACGGATGAGGAGGATGAGTGTGAGGACATGCCTCCCTTGGTTGAGGATGAAGAGGAATTTGAGGAGATACCAGCTCATGGTAAAGTTGGTATGGTTGCAAGGCGAGCTCTAACTACTCAAGCTAGTAGAGATGACCTTCAACGAGAGAACATATTTTACTCAAGGTCATGCCATGTGATGGACAAGCTTTGTAGCTTGGTAATTGACCCAGGGAGCTGTACCAATGTTGCTAGTGCACTCATGGTGGAACGATTGAACTTGCCAACAAGTGATCACCCCCGACCTTACAAACTACAATGGCTGAATAATAGTGGTGAGGTACGTGTTCATAAGCAAGTTTTAATTAATTTTGCCATTGGTAGATATAAAGATGATGTTTTATGTGATGTTGTGCCTATGCAAGCTACTCATATTATTTTGGGTCGGCCATGGCAATTTGATAAAAGGGTCATTTTTTGGATTCTTGAATAAGTATTCCTTTGTGCATAATACTAAAAAGATCACACTTGCACCTCTTACACCTCAACAAGTGCATGAGGACCAAATTGGGTTGCAAAAGGAATATGACATGCATTGTGACAATAAAAAGAAAAATTTGCATGATACAAAGAGCAAAATGGCCGAACCATCTTCTCATAAAATTGACACTTCACATTCGGCCATTGAAGGGAAAAAGGAGAGAAAATCCATCATGCTTGCTAGAACTAGAGATGTGCGAAAGGCTTTGCACTCTAACCAGATTTTGCTTATCTTGTTTTGTAAAGAGTCTTTGCTCACTAATGAACTTGGTGCTTCTTTGCCTAGTGCTATTGCTAACCTTTTACAGGAGTACCAAGATGTATTTCCTGAGGATATACCTAATGGGTTGCCACCTTTGAGGGGAATAGAACATCAAATTGATTTCATTCCTGGCTCTTCCCTTCCTAATAAGGCACCATATAGGACTAATCCGGAGGAAACTAAGGAGCAACAAAGGCAAGTAGAGGACTTGCTTGGTAAGGGCTGGATTCAAGAGAGTCTAAGTCCTTGTGCTGTACCTGTCCTACTTGTGCCAAAGAAAGATGGAGGATGGAGGATGTGCACCGATTGTAGAGCCATAAATGCCATAACGGTAAAGTATCGCCATCCCATACCTCGATTAGATGACATGCTTGATGAGTTACATGGTGCTATTATATTTACTAAGATTGACTTGAAAAGTGGTTATCACCAAATACGCATGAAAGAAGGGGATGAGTGGAAAACAGCATTTAAAACAAAACATGGTCTGTATGAGTGGTTGGTCATGCCTTTTGGCTTAACTAATGCACCTAGTACCTTCATGAGGTTAATGAACCATGTTTTGCGTTCTTTTATTGGTAAATTTGTGGTAGTCTACTTTGATGACATATTGATCTATAGTAAGAGTACAGAAGAGCATGTTGTGCATGTACGAATGGTCTTAGATGCACTTCGAAAGGCGAGCCTCTATGCTAACCTTAAGAAGTGTACTTTTTGCACTAATCAACTTGTCTTCCTAGGTTATGTTGTGAGTGACCAGGGAATACGAGTTGACCAAGAAAAGGTGAAGGCCATAAATGAATGGCCAATACCAACCAGTGTAAGTGAGGTAAGGAGTTTCCATGGCTTGGCAAGCTTCTATAGACGCTTTGTCAAGGATTTCAGCACCATTGCTGCCCCACTTACAGC